ATTCTCATGATGTGTTGGTCACTGGATTGTCTGGTCCAGACTCGATTAACTACAGACCGCCGCCATATAGAAGGATATTATTGAGTGCGGCGTAAAACTAAACTCACTCACTCACTGAATTACACACACACACACACACATACACACACACACACACACACACACACACACACACACGCCGTGAAGATCCACGGTCGAAGATTAACGGTCGAATTCTCTTCAGCAACCCATGCTTGTCGTAAAAGGCAACTAACGGGATCGTCGTGGTCAGCTTCGCTGTCTTGGTTGACACATGTCATCGTACTTTGATTGCGTTGATCGATGCTCCTGCTGTTCATCACTGGATTGTCTAGTCCAGATGCGATTATTTACAGACTCCACCACATAGCTGAATATTGCAGAGTGTGGCGTTCAACAAAACAACACTTTGAAAACATAAACATCGTACACTTTGAAGAAAACATGAGATATTTCTCATTAAATACATGCTCAAATGTACGTTTCTTTATGTACCCGGACTGTCGAAACAACCCTAATTGCATGCTATTACCCCTCATTACCACTCTGTCACGTACACGTGAATTTTCGACAACAACAAATAATACGGAATGACTGTCGACAACAACAAATAATTGAGACGGTTTATACCCGGACTGTCGACAACAACAAATAATTGAGACGGTTTATACCCGGACTGTCGACAACAACAAATAATTGAGACGGTTTATACCCGGACTGTCGACAACAACAAATAATTGAGACGGTTTATACCTGGACGTCGACTGTCAAATAATTGAGACAACAACAAATAATTGAGACGGTTTATACCCGGACTGTCGACAACAACAAATAATTGAGACGGTTTATACCCGGACTGTCGACAACAAATAATTGAAATAATCCATCCAAACAACTTGTCGACAGTCCGGGGAAAGGGAGATGATGTTCTACATGAGTGACTTCACGCCCAGTGTTCTCGAGATTAACAAACCAATTAAAAACAGAGTGAGATATATATAGAAGACAATATATTTATTTAGTCAGTATAACAGCATGTATGTATCATATGTCACAGAGTATAACATATTTGTATATATATTTCATAAATCTCACACAATATATTTGTGTGCGTGTGTGTGTGTGTGTTATAGAAATAAGTGGTTTATGCTGGTGTATAAGCAATAAATACTAGTATATAAAAGATGAGTCCAGATATTTCTTCTTGACACATGGTCTGTGTAGTTCAAGTCGGTAAGTCTGTCGGCAGGAAGGTCGGACTTCAAGGATCGAATCCTTCCGTTGATGATTCAGTAGCGACGTCTACGGACGGGATGTCTGCTGTCCTCGGATCTGCTGAATTTTATCTTCAGTAGCTGGCTGTTCTTTTTGCAGCATTCGCACAACCTGAAACACATTCGGATGTGTCTTTATGGCATACTTGTTGATTTTGTTGTGCCAACCTTCCAAATTATTGTTAGTTCTGTGTCCATCATTTTCAAAATGATTCCAAGTTGGCAGAGTCCATGGACCTTCTACCCAGGTGGTAGTAACGGAATCCAAATGTATCCAAATAAATGTTTTCAACAGCATTTCGATAATCCTTCTACTCCCAATATCCAAAATAATTTATAAGCTCTCTGTTTCTTTCGGGTATTTTTTTTGCATGTTAAACTCCAAAATGGTAATCCTTCCACTCGCATAACGTAAAATAATAGTCTGTTTGCAACCTTAATTGTCTTACAAATAGTTAAAAAGACATTCTCTATAATTAACTTAATTCATTTACTCATGAATCGAACATAATGACTACAGCCACTTGCAAATCACTTAGCAAACATTCTCTCTCATTGATTAACACCGTCATGGTATGTTGACCACGCGATGTCGACACTCCGGGTTTTTTGTTCTGTCGACGGCTAGCAACAGCCTATTTTTCATTTGTCGTCAGATCGGGCTGACACCATTGACACATGTTGTCGTTCAATTGCTGGGCTGTCTAATCTGTTCGTAGACGTATTTTCCCTTGCACAAGCGATCAATATTCAGTACGTAGACGAATTAATTGTGTCATTCAGCTGTCAGGTACACGGTGACATTGCAATATATTCAGCTGATGTGTTTACTCATCGCTTAGCTACGACCCACATGGACTCATTTTTAACCATGCACCTGGGACTGCTCAATGCACTAATGTGTGAGATTAGTACCATGTTCTATGAATGCGATGACCAACCGTCAGCACTAATAAAGGCGGTACAATAGCACTCAAACACCGATGTGTCGAAGTAAAGGCTGGGCCTATCCCTTATGTCATCACACTTTGTGTCGTGGTTGAAGTGACCCACGTGATTGATTCGAGTTATCTCAGGTTCGGTATAAACGCCACATAACCTAGGAAGGAATAAGCAGGGACCAAACTCTTACTTCGAGAAAAGGACGTTCGACACATCCGTAAATTCTGGCATATGAAAGTTCGACTCAACTGTGTGTTTAATTGTATAATTTGCCGAGATTAATCCACACACGCGTTGACCTTGAAAAGAATGTAAACAACTAAACGCGAAATGACCTCCTACTTCGATAAGACCGGACTTTCGACACAAAAAAGCCGACTCGAGAATTTAAATCTGCACTCGCATTGACCTTAAAAAATAATTAATCACATATATCATAGTTCAGCTTTACTGCAGTATTGAACTGACCTGCTTTTCACGGCGACAGCCGTATGCAATAACTCACTGATGCTGGACCATGGTGGTGGTGTGTCATTCACGTCCTTGTTGAATAAAATGTCGGGGTAGCGTAGCGTGCATAAATTGTTTAGAAAATTGTATGAATCCAACAGTAGTGGGTGTCCTGTGAGAGACTAAGCTTCACCACCTCTCATTCAGTCCTGTCATACACAGCAAAGTCAGTGGGGGTATCACAAAGGATTCACCTCTTGAGTTAAAGTAAATTGAGAAGAGGAGTATGCGTTCTGTTAAATGTTTGAATGTTTAAAGAGACCACCATCTTTAGTATTATATATACCTTAGTACAGTTATATCTACAGTGAAAAGAAAACCTCGGTAATAAGAATTGAATGTGAATTCGATATTTGAAGTTTGAATACTTTTATAAAATGTCTCATCTGTTTGTATCAAGCTCAGCATCGCTCAAATGAACAGATATGTACTTGTGACCGGTTTTGTAGTTCAAAAGGACCAAGCACTTGACTAGGTAAAGTCGTTCCATGTCGGCAATGTGAATCGGAATCTGAGATGACCTCAATAACCCCAGAAGCAAATGTTGAAGGACTAGAGCTTCTAATCACCGTCATATACATTCATACCCTGTCGATCAAACAGACAACAATTAACAAACACAAGCTTTGTTACTGACATAACCTGTAATAAACCTTTTATTTATTTTTCAATTGTGACTACCCTCTAATAAGATTTCTCAGTTGTGTCTAGATAAAATCATAAAGCAAAGTTCATACTAAAGTTAATTTTGAAATGTCCTGCCTCTTGCTCTGAATGTAAAATTTATTTTACATGTAACGTTGACGAGGGGCTTTGTGAGCTCATGTCTTTATAAACAAACTTGTTCTGTTCTGTTCTGTACTAAACATCAGTCCTATCACAGAAAGCATAAACAGTGTTTTTGACAGATGATTTCGTGATTGGAAGCATCATTCTCCGATTGCCTACGTCCTCACTCTTGCCTTACGTATTCAATACACTTCATTTTGTTTCAAGTGCATTACCTCTTCACACAAAAATCAAGATGTAGGCATTTTCTGTGACTATTATTAAGTACTTTTGAAGCCTTTTGACTATATAACATATGGACAAGAGTTACCTAAGCTTGGGAAGAAATGGACATTTGACCACGTCTTATGTTTTTATCTCAAGCGCTTTATACTATAGATAAGCAAAGCGGAGCTCATTATATAGCTTAGTTTGCTAGTGAAAACGTACGATGAATTTCACTTTAAACCAAAAGTAAAATCAATACAGTGAATTACGATTGCGAATCCTCATGATTTTACCTTGCCATTTTGAACATTTAAATCTCAAAATTTTTATTTCATTTAGGATAAAGAACAAACGATCATAGATTCAAATCGCCTTTATTATTGGTTTTGTATTACAAGGGAGTAAACACAGTAGTTGGAACAGTGAAACAAAATGCACATGCAGTACGTGATGAGCGTTAACTTAGACCAACCCTACTTGTTCTCGGTGCCATTTTAATGTGCATACCTCCTTGTAATACAAACCAATAATAGGGATCTGAAACTATGATCGTTTGTTAAGCAACTTTTATCCTAAGCTAAATAAAATTCTGATATTTAAATGGTCAATTGGCAAGGTAAATTTATGAGTATTCGCTATCTTAATTTCACTTTTATTCGATTTTTACTGTTTTGTTTAAAGTGAAATTCTTCGGTACGTTTTCACTGCAAACAGACTATAGGTTATGTAACTAATTTCAAACATGATCAGTGATGCTTGTGTATGAAAAGATGAGTGAGTATGGTTTTACGCCAGGTTTAGCAATATTCCGGCTACATCACACGGCGGGTACAAAGAATGGGTTCAACACATTTTACCCAAATGAGGAATCGAACTCCGGACTTTGGCATGACGAGCAAACGCTTTAACCACTAGGCTACCTGACCACCACTTAACCTGTGTGATAAACAATACAATGGGGACACCAGAAACGGCTTCACATATTGTACTCTTTGTGGGGAATCGAACTAGGGTCTCCGGCGTGACAAGCGAACGCTTTAACTACTCGACTACCTGACCGCCCCTTAACCCAAGGCACCACAAAAGAGCAAAACTGAAACTGAATCATAAAGTGAAATCAACTGGAAATATCTAAGAGAAACAATACACATGGACTCCATTTAGCTTAACTAACACAGAGCATGCTTCAAGCAACATCAGCAGTATTGATTCAAATTTTACTACTCTTGATATAAAGGTATTAAAACACAATGTTCCTCGACTGACAGTGTCTCAAGTCCGCATTCTACAACACCATCCTCCCAAATTCAAACATAACGTTGAATTTAACCGATAGTACAGCATACAGTTCAAAGGTTTTCAGTCTTGCGACGACGACAATCTAAGTCTTCCGTTGTTGGCCAGTTATAGAAAATATCTGCCTAAGTCGACCGACGAGTTTTTCGCAATCCTCACCTCGAAGTCGTCTTTGGTGAAACTCTGCAACCAAACAAAAATCTTTGCAGTATACCATATCATTCTAACAATTCACAGTAGAAACATCCCCTAGCCATAAGGTATTATTGCCATTATCACGAAAATGATATAATTTTTACTTCTTATGAATCCGTGAAAATTTTGGTTAGAATTGGGGTTCAGTAGCCCATGCTTGTCGTAAGAGGCGACTAACGGGATGGGGTGGTCAGGCTCGCTGACTTGGATGACACATGTCATCTTAACCCAATTGCGTACATTAATGCGCACTGAATCGTTTGGTCCAGACTCGGTTATTTACAGCCCGCTACCATATAGCTGAAATATTAACAACATACCAAGCAAATATCTTATGAGTAATAGCATTTATTTCAATATGCATATGCAATACGTATTACAGGCGTATGTAACCAATACGAACCGTCTTTTTATTTTCCATCAGTTGCTGGATTGCACGGGAGAAGGGGCCTGACCTGTGACAATATGTCTTCCCATTTCCCTTTGCGGTGAATTCGACTCTGTATTCACTAAGTAGAAAGAAATACATATACGTAACAGGTGTGAGGCGGAACAAAAGACACTATTGTGTTTCATTTCAGTGCATGTGCCGTTACCCTAACAATGAATTTATATAATAAAATCTGGACTAGACAATCCTGTGATCAGCATCATTAGCATCAATCTATCAATTGGGATACGATGTGTCAACCAAGTCAGCGAGCCTGACCATCTGATCCCTGTAGTCGCCTCTTACGACAAGCATGGGATTCTGAAGACTATTTCTAGTCCGGATACTCACGGGTCCATATCCCACTGGGTGTAAATATAGGAAATAGAATAATGCAAATGATGTGAATGGGTCAACGATTATCAGTGTGGACACCAGGTGTTCGTGAAACAGCTCCACGAACACCTAACGACCCCTTAAGCCACCTTCAGCAAGCTTGTGGTTCTATCAAATCAGCATGTTTGCAATCACACTTCAGAAAGCAAATGATGTTTCTCATTTAAAAACAATTTAACAAAACATCCGATGTCGAGCTATACATATAATTGCATACCCGTTAAATTGAACTATGGTCCAAGATGGATTACTCTTGCCATTCATGGGGTACCGTAAAACACAGTACTTGGTGCTGGAGCAGCATCCCGCGGACTCCTCATCAATTTGAACTGAAACAATTTCAGAAAAGATGCTGATTCTAGGTTCAATTAGAAACGTTCAAACCGAACAATATAAACCACGAAAGTACATAACTGTACCATTACATCAGTAATATTACCACTGGTAGAGGGGATAACAGTAATATCACCACTAGTGTTGTAAATAACAATAATATTACTATTAGTGAAGGGTATACCAATATTAATAGTGGAGGACTTAACATTATCGTTGCATGGTCCTGGATATACCAGTATACCCATTAGCGTAGGATATGACAACAATATTACCATTAGCGTAGGATATGACAACAATTGGATATGACAACAATATTACCATTAGTGGAGGTTATGACAACAATATTACCTTAAGCGTAGGATATGACAAAAATATTACCATTAGTGGAGGATATGACAACAATATTACCATTAGCGTAGGATATGACAACAATATTACCATTAGCGTAGGATATGATAACAATATTACCATTAGCGTAGGATATGACAACAATATTACCATTAGCGTAGGATATGACAACAATATTACCATTAGCGTAGGATATGACAACAATATTACCTTTAGCGTAGGATATGACAACAATATTACCTTTAGCGTAGGATATGACAACAATATTACCATTAGTGGAGGATATGACAACAATATTACCAATACCGTAGGATATGACAACAATATTACCTTTAGCGTAGGATATGACAACAATATTACCATTAGTGGAGGATATGACAACAATATTACCATTAGTGGAGCATATGACAACAATATTACCTTTAGCGAAGGATATGACAACAATATTACCTTTAGCGTAGGATATGACAACAATATTACCATTAGTAGAGGATATGACAACAATATTACCTTAAGCGTAGGATATGACAACAATATTACCATTAGTGGAGGATATGACAACAATATTACCATTAGCGTAGGATATGACAACAATATTACCATTAGCGTATGATATGACAACAATATTACCATTAGTGGAGGATATGACAACAATATTACCATTAGTGGAGCATATGACAACAATATTACCTTTAGCGAAGGATATGACAACAACATTACCATTAGCGTAGGATATGACAACAATATTACCATTAGTGGAGGATATGACAACAATATTACACTGCTGCAGGATATGACAACAATATTACCATTACCGTAGGATATGACAACAATATTACCATTAGCGTAGGATATGACAACAATATTACCATTAGCGTAGGATATGACAACAATATTACCTTTAGCGTAGGATATGACAACAATATTACCTTTAGCGTAGGATATACCATTAGCGTGGCGTAGGATATGATAACAATATTACCTTAAGCGTAGGATATGACAACAATATTACCATTAGTGGAGGATATGACAACAATATTACCAATAGCGTAGGATATGACAACAATATTACCTTTAGCGTAGGATATGACAACAATATTACCATTAGTGGAGGATATGAAGATATTACCAACAATATTACAATATTAGTGCGTAGGATATGACAACAATATTACCATTAGCGTAGGATATGACAACAATATTACCATTAGCGTAGGATATGACAACAATATTACCATTAGTGGAGGATATGACAACAATATTACCTTTAGCGTAGGATATGACAACAATATTACCTTTAGCGTAGGATATGACAACAATATTATCTTTAGCGTAGGATATGACAACAATATTACCATTAGTGGAGGATATGACAACAATATCACCATTAGCGTGAGATATGAATCAATGGTTTTGCCGTTAATGTAAGATATAACAAAAATAGTACCGTTAACGATGGATATAACAATTGTATTACCTTTGGCGTAGGATAAAATATTAATAGTACCGTTAGTGTATGATATGACAATAGTGAGTGAGATAATATTTAACGTCACATCGGCAATATTTAGGCCATATCGTGACGAGATATTATCATTAGTGTAGGATATAACAATAATACTATCATTAGTGTGGAAACAAAAAATAGTTTACCATTTAGCGGTTCATACTGTTCAGTTGCCATTTCTGTAAAAGTACTGGTTTGGACCTGGAAGTGAAAACCAATGGTACATAATATAATCTAAAACTCTAACTCTGTGTAAAGCGTTTAGTTTTTAATATGCAAATTAACTTTACGGGGGATTTGTGCAGACATATTATTGATTTAAAGTCATTGAATAAAACTTTGCCATAATCAGAAATTATTTTCCAGTATTTTAACCTCAGCCTATCCAAGAATTTATTATCCTAACAATCATTTCACATTTATGGCCAGTTTTTGTTAGGTTTACTTTTACGTTGATTTTGTTGATGAAAAATTTATTCTACGAGCAGGAACTTTACAGCAGAGAAATTTACAGCTGAAATAACTTCGATGCATTTCTGTCATAACTGTACATGTCGTTATGTCATAAATAATATCCATCCAAACAGCCCCCGTCACTTGTGCAATAGAAAAGTAATGACGTGGTTGTATTCTTAGACTGTTTATATCACTAACGCTTTAACAAGAGCAACATGAATTACGCAATAGCAGGGACTTCCAATACATCATAAATCATCGATACGTATGCTCGTCACGCCTTTACCCCGATGTTAGTGTTAAATAACAAACATTCTAGATTTGTGACAATCACATTTTGCCATTTCTTTAAAAAGGTCAAATAAAAATACAAAGGTGGTTTAAGGATATATAGGAATAATCATTTAGTCGTTATGAATGTAAGCGAACGTCGCATGGAAGGTGTTAATTGATCATATTGTGGTTCAAAGTATCATAATCCTTTCCGCAAAAATTCTTACCATTTATCTCGGTTAGTGGCTTTTATCCAGTAACTTTTTTCAATTTAAAATTCACTTCAAACAGTGTACATGCAAGACGCTCAGTTTGGTTTCTTCATCATCGTTTATAAAATAAAAAAAGCATCTTGCAGTATTTTGAAGGATATACATTCTAAAATACAAAATGTGTTAGTGACAAAGATTAGAATTGTTTATTCGCGCTTATTAAAACATCACATTGGAAAATAGAGTATACATATATGTGTTACAGGGAATGTGTGAAACCAGGGATTTCACTAAACCCTAAAAGAGTCAGTGATTTCGTGAAATTAATGTGACCTCAGCAATTGACACTCTCAAAAATTTCTAACAAAATGCCTGGTTTAAGAATAAATATAGATAAAACTAAAGCAGTTTGGATAGGCTGAATGGCAGGTCGCGGCATCATTTTATGCCAGGATCTTAAGCTTGACTGGCATAATGGGTATTTTGATAGTCTAGGAATAAGACTAAATCCTAGCGCAACTAATCTTTGGGTAATTAATACTGTGTAATATTAATGAAATTTCTAGTATGTGTAATGCCTACCCATATGAACGTCTGTCTTATTGTGTACTAGTTCTGTTGCATTATGTATTTTGTATATTTGTATCAATTGATTTGAATGAATAAAAATACAAATTAACAAAAAAAAGTGTCTCTCCGGACTGCTGTAATTTCCAAGTCGAATTTTGGTGTGTTTCCAGAACTGTAACTGGAGTTCTAACCAATGTAAATCGAGACGTTGTAATATTTTAAAGCAGGACTGAAGTGTAATAGCCGGCGGTGTCATAACAGTCTATCTTGTCCCAACAAATGAAACTTATCAGCATATACTCTGTACGCGCATGATAAACTTGGTGTTCTATATTTCAATAAAAGCTGGCAGGGGTTTCATGAAATCCCTTGAAACTTTTGAGAATACATGAAATCCCTGGGGGTCACAGTGATTTCACGAAATGGCTGACTCTTTTAAGAATTACATGAAATCCCTGGTTTCACACATTCCCTGTAATATAACACTGATTACATTTTACTGTTTATGTAGTTCATTGTTCTGCTTAAAATATACCAAATCGAACTGTAAAAACTAAAGTGTCCTACCTGTCGACTCCTTTACCGCAGTGTGATAAACTATATCCCAAATATTCAAATATGTAAGTGGAATCTCTCTTCAAAATTCCTGGAACTGGAGTGGGTTTTTTCAATTGAAATGCAAATGATTCCTAGAATATTATAGAATTTACGTCTTAACTCGATGCCAACTCAGCCCCGTCAACATGACGTCACTGTCACGTGAGAATGAGCTGGAACGTGATCACATGGTTTTCTTGATAGGTATCTATTTGTGGTGCTGACCAATATGGGCGTTCTTTGTTTTGCGGTGTCTATAAACGTCACAGCATACAATGAGCTCGTGAGCAATATGTTAATGTTAACCAGAATCAATGGAGCCATGTACAAACACAGGAAAATTGGACATTATTGAGAAACCAGGAATATAGTTTCATAATACTTTTCTCCATAATACAGGTTATTTCTGTCGTCCAGTTGATAGATGGGTGGTAGGGTAGTCTTTGTGTTGAAGCGCTCGGTCATTATGACGACGATTTGGATTCGATTCGCCACATGGGTTCAGTCTGTGAAGACCATTTCTTGTGTTCCCAGCCGGAATTTCTGGAATATTGCTAAAGGTGGTGTAAACTATACTCACGCACTGGCGTCCAGCGATCGTTCTTTACTGTGTCTTTGCGAGATTTACATGTACACGACAAAGTGAGATTACCTCTTTATCAGCTGCACTAGTTCAAAGTAGCATCGGCATCTACATTCACACGAACGCACACCCGTGCTTGAACGTTGCCGTAGAAGTGCAATAATTTTAAGCCGACTTAAATGCCCACATCGTCTCATTCCACATTGATTTCTAAAACGTTTTTTCATTTCCTCAAATAGCTAATTTTTTGTTCATCTAATACGTAACTATTTCTGAATTAACACATGAAGGTTTCTTTTCATTTAACTGCATATATACAAATACGAACAGTTTTCCCTGAAGATAAAAGTGAAACATGTTGGAGAAGACCCGTGTAGTGTGATTATTTCAGAAACTTCTTCTTATATATATATATATATATATATATATATATATATATATATTTTTGTAGAAATGGCTTTAGTAGTTATTCTTATTCACTTACATCCACAATGACATAGGAGATTCTCATTCAAGACGGACTTATTTATAAACCCGGAGATTCTCCATGACATCAGTTGCAACTTATTAAACAAGGGCACAACGCAAATGTTGTCTTGGGGCCAGCAGCATTTGAATAAACCCGAAGCATGAAATGTCCACCGTAGAACGTTATGATCAATAGAGTAAACATGTACAATGTATACCTCAAATCATTTCACAAACAGTATGATAAACTTTTCCTCCTCCACAGTCCTAATTGTATACATATACTACATCGTATATATTCCTAAAGCAATCTTACAGGTGCATAATTTCAAAACGCATGGCTTGATATTTGTGTGGGCTGTCTGTGACTTACCGATACACACAGGCACGAACACGCACGCACGCAAACACACGCGCACGCACACACGCACGCGCGCGCACACACACATGCTCACACACACATACATACATACATACATACATACATACATACATACATACATACATACATACATACATACATACATACATACATACATACATACGCCAATACATACATACATACATACATACATTCACACACACATACATACATACATACATACATACATACATACATACATACATACATACATACATACATACATACATACATACATACATACATACGCCAATATCTTGCTTCAGAAGCTTTGAAATTAAAAATATTCTAAACGCTTTGCTCAAACGTATTCCAGCTATATGACAGCAGTTTGTACATAATCGAGTTCACATTCCAATGGTTGACACCAAGAACATCAATCTACCCAACTGGGAAACAAGTGGTCAACGTCTGGTAGAACAGCATCATTTTCTTTGCTCCCAAATCAAGCTGACAGGGTTTGATATCGCTGGAACACTGTTCAAGGTGACGTTGAACCCAACACACACCTCAAACACAGTAGGCAAGAGATCAAACTATCAAGTCCCATTTCGTCGAATACTTACTATGGGCGTCTTGTATAAGTACCAGATTCCGTTCTGGATTTGTATGTTCCAAAAAGACCCATTAACCTAAAAGAAAGGTAATACCCGTTCTTGATTTTGATAAAGAAACGTTAACTGAAAATGATAATAGGTGACCACGTTGACGACATTTACTGAGCAGAGTTGCATCCACATAGACCTTCATGAGGGTTGCAGTTCAATACATGTTTACCCGTGAACGTCTGTAGTAACGTCGTATCTGTCAGCATCTACATTTACCAGTACAGACTAGCTATTCTCGAAACGTTCGTAGCCATACGAACATCTTAAGCCCATTCTTAACACATTGGCTACGATCAAAGTTAAGAATGTTTAGGGCTACGAACGTTTCGAGAATAAGGGACCAGGAAGCTAAGCACACCAACCCCAGATGTGCAACAAATGTTACCTGCTTAAACGTATGATCCATGGACACATTCAGCATACGTAGTGATGTCAAAAAGAACAGTACTAAACATTTAAAGTCATGATCAGTGGGAAGGGGAAGGGCCCGTCTCATAACTTAGGGAATTATTTGTTTATCCTGCTTTAAACTTCGGACCTGGTCCCTTTGTCTGAGCTTGAACATTTGAGCATAGTAGTGATGTCAGAAACAACAGGACATTATCATCAGTTTTAATTACTTATGGTTTATTTAAGGTGCGTTCTCATTGCACACTCAACCGATTCCGAATTTGGTATCTTATTCAGGAGTGAAATCGATGTAGAATTTACATATTGTTTTGTGGTTTCGACAAGACAGGAAGCGGAGATAGGTTAGTAAACAACAAATGTCCTGGCGCTATCAGAATACAGCTCGTGCAATAAGAGCACAGTGTTATTACAAGACAATGGTTTAAATAGCAGTACAAGACACAAATTCTAATGATTAAATTACATTTTATTACAAATCGAACTGATTGTGGAACTCTTCACATTTTCCCATGCGTTGGTTTGTTGTTTTGGTAATCTAACAACGAAAATAATCTTTGATCTTGGGGTTGTTCGAGTTCACCTTCACTTGGTAATCGTTCCTGGCAGTTTTCTGAAAATAAACCATTCAGGTACAAATTTGAATTAACCTCTCAGCCACAGGGATCAGCACAATATGCTGACTTACTATGTATCATCAGTTGGAAAATGATCAGTTGGAAAAGTCGACAACAAAAAAGATTGCAAGTGATCCCATGGCATTCGGCTGGATGGCCCCAGAGAAATTATTACTTTGGTACATTTTGTCGACTTCACTTTAATCTGTTCTGAATTTATGAATATAAACGTTAAAGCCAGAGTGAATAATTTGCAAAAACTTGCGTTATGATAATTATAGAAAGTTAAACAATGACGGACAAAACTGACAACAATTAGAGTTGATGAGAATGATTATTGTTATAAATAATAGTATCGCCAGTCAATGTGGATAACGTACATAGTATGCCTATATACCAACCTTGCTTACATTGCCCATTTGGTCTCTGATGTTGTCCGGAAAAGGGTCAGTTGTGTGGCCATACCTGCGACCACCAGCAGTCGCTCGAAATTTGGCAACGTGTTCCCTAAAATTACAAAAAGGAAGACATTATGTTCCTCTTATGTTGCTGCTCGCGGCCCTTTCTTGCTGTTTTTTTTTGTTTTAACAGAAACCTACATCGAATAGGTGCTTCACGTTTCCGGATAAATACGAAATGTGGTGAATTTTAGTGACTTACTCGACAAGATCAAAACGATCTTGGAAATATAAGCCGCGTTGCCTAAAAATACAAATCGTAAGAAATCGTGTATTTCTTTCATCGTTTTCAATTCTTCATCTTTCCTGTTGCTGTTGGTAACAATTTTTTGCGACCCTGATGACATGACGTAAGATAATATATACTCCGTAACATTTTAAAGGTCACACAAAAAAAACAGCGAAAAATAATCACTATTTACAAGAAATTTGTGAAAAGTCCATTTTCAAGTTCGACTATATCAAAAAGACAGTAAACAAAAGTTATCCAAGGTTATACATTGCAAAATAATGACTTAAATAGCAAAAAGCAAGGACCAATCGTTTATTTTGAGACAACCATGTGTTCGTCACATCACAGTTCAGACACAACAGTGTTTGACTTTGAGTCATGAAACCAGGTATTTGCGAAACGGTGACCCAAAGACACGAATAACATTATAACCGAACAACTCCACTGACCTTTTGTCTTGGTTGTGTGGAGCAACTCATACGAACATGGTTGTTAATAGCTACTTTACAAAGCTATTTTAAGCTGTCCGAACAAGTAAAAAACATACCTATCTTTCTGGACAATGTCCCATGACACATCCGTAATTCCTACCACATTGAAGTGAAAGGTCTGAGACTTTTTTCCCGGTACACATTGAACTGAAATTAATGCAGAAAATACACATGAAAACTGTACCAACAAACTACAAACTCTGAATAATTCCAATGACCACAATAGAAACAAAAACATGTGTATTTTAGGTAGTTTTGATGTTGAATACATGTTTAAATGCTAACATTTTGAGACGGTTTCTAATTGCCTTATTGAAATAAAAGGTATGAAAACGCTATCACAATACTACCACAAGAACATCTTTATTACCATTCGTTGAGGATATAACAGTTATATCACGATTAGTGTATGGTACAGCAATAATATTACCACGAGTGTACTGTAAAAGAAGAATTTTAAGTTCATTGATGATATACAAGTGATATTA